ATAACTTTATCAATCTTTTTATTCAAAGATATAAAGTTTTTGAATTTTTAAATTAAAAAAAAAAAAAAAAAACTAACTCGACTGAATATGCCAGTAAACTATATATCTCAATGTCTCACAACATTATCTAAGATTTCCTTGATTCTTGAAGTATATAATAGTAAATTTTCACTTTTTTTATTTAAATACATAAATATTATCCTATTTTGATTAAGATTGTCATTTGTTATGTTATCATCATTCTCTAATAAATCTTCAAAAAAAAGTAGGAAAGATTGTAAAATTTCATATTATCATTTGAAAAAAAAAAAGAAGAAATTTACTATTTAATTTAAAAATCTAAAAAGTTTGTATTTTTAAATAGATTAATAACAAAGTTGTCATTTTTATTAATCTGTTATCTTCTCAAATTATGAGATTTTCATATTTTATTATTTAAAAATTATCAATTATAAATTCCATAGTTCCCTTCTGCAGGATCCAGGTTGGGGTTGGGGAGGCAGTAGAAAGTCCAAGCTAAGGCAAAAAGATTGTGTGAGAGATGATGTGACAAGGGTGAGACCCACAAGAAAGAGTGGTCAAAAAAGAAATCAAAAATAATCGATCGTTGTATTTAACTGTCAATAAACAGTACCGTTAATTACAATAAATGGAGAGACGACATTGGGGTGTTTCTGCATTGTAGAGGGACGACAAGTGAAGTTAATTAATAGAAGAGGGACGACATAGAGCCAATCTATAGTAAAACGTTCAGATTACACTATTTTTGATAGTAAAGGAACAGTAGTTCGCATTAACCCTAATCTATACACACTGTTTTTATTCAATTTCAAAACCGGCAGAATGGGGAACCAAGATCGGGTTCATGGGAGAGATATGTAAAAGGGTGGAAGAGCAAGTTGAGATGGCAATTTCCCCTAACTTCTGGAAGGGATCTCTATTGTGGGGACAAAGTAGGAAGGAATAATTTTTTTTTATAGAGTGTATTTTCTCTTTAAAAAATTTGTGAGAAATTTTTCTCATACCATAAACTGCACAAAAATTCTCATTTTTGAAAACATTTTTAAAAATATAAAATTATATTATTAAATCAAAGGATCATATTGCAATTGGTTCTTTGTAGAGTATAAAGTATAAACGCGTAGAAACATGAAAGATGTTTTTGTTGGTAATTAAGGAACATGTCGTGGTAAAACAGAGGGGTTTAACTCAATGTGTTTGATTAAATTTTTCTTCAGCATGAAGTTTAATAGTGCAAGTCGTATAGATGGTGAGATGGCTTCTAATCCCTATTATATTAAGTTATTATAGTGTCAAATATGTTATGATAATATAATTAAAAGTTTAATTTTTTAAAATAAAAATTAAATAATTTAAATACTTAACTTTTGTCTTCTTTAAATTAACAATTTTAATTTTAATTTTTTGATATCTTTTTGGTATTAGATCTTTTATATTAAAAAATTACATTAAATATTAATTAATATAGACTCAAATTACATCAAACTTTATAAAAGAAAGTTTTATTAAAACTTATCTTTTTACTCACAAAATTTAAATTTAACATTTTATTTAAAAAAAACTAAATTTTTATTACTTAAACCAATAGGTTTTCGTTAATATTTTTTTAATATTGTTAGATGGTGAATAAAGATCTACACAAATAACGGAGATCTGGGGAGAAATTTGCCCCGTTCCAAAAAAATATTCCATTGGTGTACTCCTCAGCCCCTCGGACCCCATTCCAATAGCAGGAGAAAGATAAAGAGTAAAAATAAATTTTATTTTTTAAAATTAAAATTTATGTAGGATTACTTGTCAGGTGGTTGTTTTTATGCTTACATGTCACCGAGCATGATCTAACAAATGACATGTTACTCACGAAACTTGTTGCTAACTTTGCTTGCATTTTTGGTTTCATTCTCTCTACAATTTACTGGCCAAATTAATTTCTTATATTGTGGGTAACTGGAGCTAAAAGCCTCAAAGATAAAAAGTTTGAGAGCCTCCAATGGGGTTAAGCCAAACATTATTAAATGGACGACTGAGATTTGATTAGAGATGATTAGCCGAGTTTAAGGAGATATAATTAAAGGTTTTTTTTAATCTTTTGAAAAGTGTATTTATTATTTTTTTAATTAATTTATATAAAAAATATAAATTTTAATTTTAATTTAATTAATTAATTAAAATTATTCATATGATAATATGATAATGATATTAAAATAAAGATTAATTTTTATAATTCTCTATATATATTAAAGATTTTTTTAACCTGTGCCAAAAAGGTACTTTTTGTAATAAATTTACATAGAAAAATGTAAAAATAAACATTAATTTTAAAGTCAATGTCACATGAATAAATTTAATTAGACAATTAATAAATTAAATATTATTTTTTATTTTTTTAAAGCTCTTAACTTGTGTTTTTAAGGTACATATTAGAAAAACCTATAAATTAATTATAAAATAATACATTTATTACATTTTTTTACTTATATTCTTAGGGTGAATTCTACATGTTATATTCAAGATGACCACGTATTGTTAATGAATTATTTTGGATATAGATTTTTTTTTTTTTTGAGGTAAAGAATGTAGATTACTAAAATAGGTAAAACCTAAAAGTAAAGACAAGAACTTCTATTAAATTGGAAATTGAGGGTGTAGGTTTTAGGCACAGTACTTAAAAAATTAATTTTTTTAAATGCGTTAAATTAATGATGCAATGTGTTCTTAAGATCGCTTGATAAGGAATTAATGTTAAAGTGAGTGTTTGCAGACTGGTGCCAATTCCCAGCTCACTATACAGTGGACTCGTAAATCCTGGCTGGTTTTTTTGGTGTAATGCATGGATACATGCCTTTGTACTCTTTTTTTTAATAAAAACTTTTGATTCATTAAAAAAAAAAAGTATGTGAGTGAAAACAAACTAGAAACACTATTGCAAATACCAAAAAGAAATTGTAATTATATTGAAATAATAATTCTATATTTATAATTAATTCTGAACAAGGATACAATCTTTGTATCAATTGGAAATAAAAACAATTACATGAAAAATTAGCATGCAATATTGTAAAAATAGGTTTCTTTGCAATCAAATGATTACTAATGTAAGGTTAAGATTTAATTAATTGCATTTGATTATAATTTATGACTTTACGTCAATTTTCTACATAAATTATTTTTTATTCTAACTAATAGTACAAAATTATGTGCTGACAAAAAAAATTAGTACACAATTATGTACTACTTATTTCAAAATATTGTCCTCATTTTTTTTATAAGATTATGGTGTTTATGAGGCTAATGTTTTGTTTTGGGTTAAGGGTGAACCGCACCATCAATTTGCTACATTTCAAGAAAATTTAATTCTTTTAATACTAATCTCAGATAAAAATTTAATCCATAAACATATCCTTTAAACTGAGACTTAACAATATATTCAATCCTTTGAGATTATTGTCATTATTTTTTTTTTCTGCAGTTAAAATATTATTGTTTGGCTTGTATAAAATAAATATTTTTGGTTGATGTGTCCCATTAATTTTGTTGCTAGCTTCTTTTTCTTTCTTTCCTTCTTTCTTTTTTTTTTTTTTTTTTTTTTTTTTTGAAAATAATTTGATCGATAGATTGAAATGGGTCAATAGAGATTTAAGGGAGAGAGTTGGTGTACGCACTCGTACCAGAAGCATATAAACCCACCAATAATTTGAGCCCGCATGAGATAATGTCAGAGCATTTAAAATGGGCAGCTAAGCTCTGATGCATCATCATCTCAGTCATGAGTGATGGATATTCAAGTGTAACGTGTATAATTACACTATCTAAGGAAATGTATATCGGTGGGGGAGAGGTTTGATTTCAATCTTATTAAGGCTTTATTTCTTAGATTTTAAAGATATTGGAGGAAGTAATTCTGTTAATATTTAAATAAATTAATTTTAAGATAAATGATGTATTTTTAAGTAAATTAATTAAAAATTAAGTAAAATATATTTAATTAAAATCGAGTAAAAAATCTAAGTAATTACTAAATATCACAAAATAATAAATTTGAACTTTTGATTCAATTATTATTTTTTTTATATTTACAAATCAACTTGTCTATGAATCTGCTAGACTGGTTTTTCACACAAATGACTGAATGTTTAAATAAACTCCCATTTCTAACATGATTTGCATCTAGGTTGGTTAAATTTATTCTAACTTTCATTTTACTTTTATTTATTTTATTATTATTATTATTATTATTATTATTATTATTATTTGAACAAATTTATGATTTTAAAAGTGGGAAGGTTCGATCCCCAACCTAAAAGCCAAGGATGCATCTTATATACCAATTTATAACCGTTAGATCATGATATCAAATGTTACTTTTTTTAAACGGAGAGACTTGTGAGAAATATGATATAGGAACGTTCGGAAATGTTTGTTAGTGGCTGCAGAGGAGAAATTGTGTTTAAGTTTTAGAAAAAAAAAATCATCTGTGGCACATAAGCACATGCTCCTCTTACACACAAGTACAGCAAGTGCCGATGTTTTCGCCTCTGAATTCTCGCAGGTTGCCTTCCTAGCTTCTCCTCTTCGGGAAGAATGTTAGAAGAATAATAACAAATGAAATTAAAATTTAAAATTAAAATTTAACATTAATTATATATTTTATAAATTTATAATATTATATATATTAATTAATTTAATGATATATTATAAATTATATCATTAATTTTAAATTTTTATTTTAAATTTTCAGCTTCCCTATCATTGTTCATATTAAAAAATGCTCTGTTGCTCTGTAAAAACGAAGAGGCAAAGAGGGACAGTAAATTTATAGTTACAAATTAAATATTTATTATTGATTAATTTAATTATCTCACTTAATAGAAATAATTAAATTTGTACTATAAATAAGATGTGAAAAGCTAAAGATATAATGTTTAAATTTTAGAAAAGACACTTACTGTTATGATAACATCCTGTTTTGCAATGAACCAAAGTTAAATATATTAATAAATAAGTGTTAGTTTTTAAATCAAGTTTAAAATTTAAATTTTTGGGTTAATATTTAAAAAATTAATTTTTTTAAAATATATTAAGGTATCTATAAATTAGTTAATCACTTAAGATTGTCAATAAATTAATTAATTTTAAAATATATAAAAATTAATTTAAAAATACGTGACAATAAAAAAAAAAGCTCTATTTTACAACTAATAAAAATATTTTTTTTGAATAATTCGTAAATTATTTGATTTGATGAGCAAAAAATTTTATAATTAATTAAATTATCTTGTTGATTCAACGATTTAATTCAATTGGTTGAAATAAATCATTTCCCCTCCCCACTACACCAAACAGGCTATTAGTGTTGTTTTCTGTCTTTGTTCTTCCATTAAGTGCATCGCGTTGTTGCATTACCATACAAGGCGTCAACTCAAACATCCTTTGAAAGTAACAATTCAACTTCTATTTGGCCTTGTGTGAAGCGGCAGAACCAATTGACAATGACATGGGCTCTCACTTTGCTCGGATACACTAGTACTCTTAGACTTACACGCCATGGTCCGTAGCATAGAGTCAAAAGTTGCATCGCAGCCTATCCAAGCCAGCCTAATAGGCCTAAAGATTCACCCTGATCAAAAAAGTCCAAGAACTTCAGGTTTACTATTACCAATGACTTAAAAATGGCCTGCATGCCTCTAAATTCTTTAAGATGTTTTTGATTATTTTTTTTAATATTAGATAATAAAATATACACCAATAATTTATTAATTTCAATAAAAAGAGTTTAATTTTTTT